CGATATCAATCCCTAGCTCGCTAGCTGCGCATACGTCGTACGCACTTACCTAGCTTAACAACAATCACGCCATGGGGAAGCGCAGCGCCCCCCGCTACCCCGAGGACGAGAACAAAGGCGGCGGCGTGTGCTGCTGCTTGTGCGGCTGCTGCTGCTTCCTCTTAGTCCTCCTTGCATTATTGGCCGGCGCGGCGGCCTACCTCTTCTACACCATGAAGCCCAAGCCGCCGTCCTACTCCGTGAGCAAGATGGCCGTCTCCAAGTTCGACTTCAGCTCCTCCGACCTCACGCTCTACACTAAGCTCGTCGCCACCGTCCGCGCCGAGAACCCCAACGACAAGATCGGCATCAAGTACGCGGACGGCTCCCACACCGTCGTCTCCTACCGCGGCACGCCGCTGTGCTCCGGCAAGCTCCCCACCTTCTTCCAGGGCCACAACAACGTCACCATGCTGGAGATCTCCATGGAGGGGCGCCACGGGTTCGGGTCCGGCCTGCAGGAGGCGCTCGAGGAGAGCGAGAAGGCCGGCAACGTGCCGCTCGACGTGTACGTCACCGTGCCGGTGCAGCTGCAGCTGGATACCTACGACCTGCATCAGATCAAGGTGAACGTGCACGCGGCTCTCGTCGTCGACAGCATATCGCCCAAGAAGCCGCCTACCATCAAGTCGGCCACTTACCAGGGCAACGTAGAGTTCTGATGTGGTACTCAATTACCGGAGGGCTGGGTTAATCGACTACTCATGCAGGGATTAACCTTTTGCTCTTCGACATATTCGTTGGTTGATTGTCCAGTGGAGCTGGGGAGGAATGGATACACATGTTTGTACTGTGATGTAACCTCTAATTAACACTGTAGTCAATTGGGTTCCAAATCATATTATTTGGTTTGTTTCGTCAACGTGGATTTCCCACGTGGAGTGGACGTCCAAGGATTATCTATTGATCCTGAGCATTTCGAGATTTGTGGGATCCTTTCTCGTATATTTTTGACTAAATCTATGAAGCATGCACATTACTAGAACTTGAAACCTTTCCTAGTGCCAGATATTTCCCGGGTGCATCTTCTTGAGCACTAAGGACGTGTTTGGTTGCCCGCATGAGGCCCAACCAGACCTACACGGGAAGAAATTGGGTTGTTTGGTTGCCCGGGCTCACTGTTTGGCCGGTGTCGCATGATGTTTAAAGCACCCCACAACCGTGCCCGCCAGGAACCGTTGAATCGGCAGTTTCTAGCGACAACGGCTCGGCCGATTGAGGGGAGGGGAATGTGGCGCGGAGGTCATGCGACCACAGAGCTGGCGCGAGCTCACACGCGTCTCCGAAAAATCGGCGGGAGAATTTCGGGTTACCTCCCGCCGATTCAGTCGCCCTATATAGCCCCCTTCACCTCACCACAAAACTCCTACCACTATTCTCCTCCCTTTCAAGCTTTCCCTCCAACGCGGATTGACACCGACGAGCAGGTAAGCGACACTTCTTCTCTGGCCGGCGGTCCACGGGGGCGGCGACTCGTGTCCTCCTCTTCTCCGACATGTTCCGTGTCTCCCTCGAGCTGCAGCGATAGCCTCTGTGAGTTCAATCATCCATTTCTTGTACTCCTTCTAGCTAGACCTGAGAACATGTGGTAGGATTTGATCCGAGAGCATGTGGTAGGGTTTGATCTGTGACCATTTTGTAGCATTGTACACTGCCGATCTGTGAGAATGTGATGTTGTGGTAGCTGTTGGTGACACATTTGTAGCATGTTAGGGTTGTATCATAGTGTTGAACACAATGGATTGGTAGCTAGTTGTGATGGATTGGTAGAATGCTTGTTGTTGGAGGTTGCTCATATCGTGCTGTGTTGACCTAGATGGTCTGGTAGTTTGTGCTATGCTTACTGTCCATGTGT